CGAGTTCAAACCCAGTTAAAGCCAAAAACTCAAAAAAAAAAAAAAAAAAAAAAAAACTTGTTAGTTTCTCATTGCTCTCCCTTCCTAGCTCTGAATGACCTTGAACGTGTCAGTCCATATATCTGGCTTTCACTGTCACATCCCTCAAGTAAGCACCATGTTTCCTTCACTACAGCATAGACAGAAGTTAAGAGCAGCAACTTGACATTGGATAGTCCTGTATGCAAGTTCTGAATCTTACCATGTCCCAACTTTTGCCTGTGGACAAGTTACTTAAACCTCTCCTAACCTCAGTCTCCTTATCTGTAGATTGGGAAGAATAACAGCGTGGGCTTCATCGAGCTGCTTTGAGAGCGTATTATAATAAGGCTGCATGTACTAAGCACTTAGCTTATAGTACTTGCTAAATAAAGACTAATTATTCATTACTTCTGTAGTGCCTGAGTCACACGAAAGTTGTGGTGGTCAGATGAAATCATAGGTATTCAGAGATTTTTTAAAAGTTAAACACTCAAGAGTTTTCTTCTGCGGAACTTTCTTCCTGAGTTCTCAGCCTCATTCAGTTAATGTAACTTTTATGTTGTTGCCCTTCTGTAAAAATGATGAAGTCCTTTTGTCATGATTTTTATTGAGGAAGAACATATATTCAGCAATGTACATAAATATGCAAGTGCACAAATACAGCTCTGTGGGGTTTTAATAGGTATATGTCATGGAACTAACTACCAATCAAATCAAGGTAGACAACATTCTCAGCACCCCACAAGGCTCCCTCATTCCCCCTTTCAGGTATATTTACCTGAAGGTAAATATAGGTAACTCTTACTCTTCTTTCTGTCACCAAAATAAATCATTCCTTGACAACATTTTTATTATTATCTCTAGAATTAAATAATTAAAAATTATAACACTGGTTTATAACCCTTATTCTCTGATTCTGATCACCTTTAAATTAGGAGGTATTTCATTGCTTCTGAGTTCCCTCAGACCCAACCCAAAGCCTCCATCTGACTTCCTGGCCTTGGACAGTGCCACCAAGTTCCCAGGTCATGCCCTACCCTATGCTAGTCATTTGGAGGAAGAGAAAACCCTAGGAGGCATAATTCTGCCCTCAGAGGGCTTCTGGTGTAGCTAGAGAAACAAACAAAGCCTTACAATGGAACACCACTTCAACAGCAAGCGAGTACAGAAAAAGTGAGTCTTCTTAGAGGGACAAGCTCCTGTCTTCTTGTTCTTGACCCCTTGAAGACTCTGTTTGGTATTGGTCTTTCCCAAGAGGATGCCCAGATTGACCAGATCCCACACTAATGGGCCCCACTTTGGGGTCACTAGGACATGGAAGGCTTGCTACCTTGCCTTCTGCTAGACTGTTGTGTATGTATGTGAGGTCTCCCATATGGGTCATGATCTCTGGACACATTAATGAGGATTTCCTCAGTGTCCAGTGAAAGGAAGGTGCGTGGAGGCCATTCTATATGTGCTTGTTCCAAGATGCCTTTGGTCAGAACATGTTACCTAAGTTCTTCCCACAGCTCACTGTTGTCGGTAAGACGGTGCACACACAAGGAGCAGTTAGCAAGCACGCATGCACTCATCACTATTAACACCACAAAGACATTTCTATGCAGTATTGATAGTTGGCAGCTTGCATTTCTTTAAAAGACAGAGTGGCATTTATCACACTTATTGCCATCCAAGAAACTAGTTAAACATAAACTGTTCTGTGTGATTGCAAGTGCGTAAGCCACTAGAGCTTTCTATGTTCTGTGGGGAAAAGGAGATGAGACAATTTATCCTTCAAAACTGGAAGTCCCAAAGCAAACCACCAGTTGATTGCAAGAGAGAGCGAGAGAGATACAGTGAACAGCTTTCATCGTGTAGCTCTAGTCATTTTCTTGAGGATTTTAAAAGAGAAAACCGCGTGCTAAAGCAACGTGTCACTCTTCTCACATTATTGCACAGCATCCATCATTTTGTATAGTTGCCTATTAATACCCTTCACCTCTATCTAATTAAGTGAAAAGAAATAATATTTTTGTAAATAGTTGAATTTTTTTTTTAAATTATAGGCCAGCATGCACAAAGATCACACTTTGCCTATAAAGAGAATTCATGATGTTGTCTTGAGCTTTGGAGTTTAAAGTATATATTATCCTTGTGGGACCATGTCAGTTTTCGTATTGGTGAGAATATAAATGAGCAAAACCACCTTGGAAAGCTGGAAGTTGCCTGATCAAGCCTAAGGTTGTACAAATGTGGATCAAGCAAGGCACCTTTTACATACACACCCTGGAGCCATAGTGCTCAGACTTTAGTGAGCACCAGAATCCCATACAGGGTGTGTTTAGACACACATTGCTGGGTGCCACCCCAGAGTTCAGTAGGTCTGGCATGAAACTATGGAGAATTTGCATCTCTAACAGGTTCTCAGGCTATGCTGATGCTACCAGAACCACACTTTCAAAGCCCCTGTCTTAGGGTGACTCTTGTACATGCATGTAGATAAGGACACAACAGCAAAATTTTTCAAAAACATTATTTCTAATCACCCCAAGGTAGAAACAACTCAAATTTCAATCAACAACTCAGTGAGGAAATTAACTGTAGTATATTCATATTAAAAAATGAAAACACTGTATAGCTGGCAAAAGAAAGGATCCACAACTACCTGCCCTGGCACGGTCGGTCCCCAAGTGTTGGTGAACAAAACAAGGCAAGCAAGAGTAGCCACAGTGTAATTCTGTTTATATGCATGCCTAAACAGGAAAAACAAAACCATATTTTCACATGTATAAACACATGCATAGAGAATAAAACTATAAAGAAAAACTGATAATTGATTATTGCAAAAGTCAGACCAGTAATTATCTGGGGTGAGGAGGTAAGCATATAGGTATTTCTTTGAGTATTAGTAATAGGCTGTTGGATATGTTGGAGTTGGACTTCTAATCATTATTTAAATTGTACATCTGTATTTATACACATCTACATATGATATATTCCATAATTTAAAAACAAATTTAAGAATCATTGTATCTTAAAAAAAATGTCCACTGTCCTATATGGATTCTTGCTCTTTGGCCACTTGTTTGAATTTTAGGATCGGACCACTAGTCGTGAAAAATAAATCTCATAAGCTTTAATACATGGTTTAATAATCCTTATTGTCCTGTGGATTAAGTATTTAAATGAAGTACTTAAGAGATTTAAAAATAATAAAATTTCATTACTATCAAATGCATTTGGTATTATGAACTAGCAATGAACCAAATGTTACAGAGTAAAATACCTGTCAGCCCTTCTTGGAGAATAAATTAGAATCATGTGCACATAATACGTTTATTGTCTGTGCACATATAATATGTCCTGGTAGGCCCTGGTAGTTAGACCCTCTTTTAGACCTTGACAATATGGACATATATGTGATAGAAGAGACCAATGGCCTTTTGCTACATTACAGCTTATTCACATACTTTTCCCCTGTACAGATTGCATTACTGTGAAGACTTTTATAAACTATTTTCATTTAGTAGGAGGGGAGTCTTTTATTTTTTTGTGAGACGGAGTCTACCTCTATCAATCTGGGTAGAATGCAGTGGTGTCATCATACCTCACTGTAACCTCAAACTCCTGGGTTCAAGGAATACTCCTGCCTCAGCATCTGGAGTAGCTGCAGTAGCTGGAACTTCAGGGAGGCACCACCAGGTCTTGCTAATTTTTCTATTTTCTTTTTGTAAAGATGGGGTCTTGCTCTTGCTCAGGCTGGTCTCAAATCCTGCCCTCAAGCAATCCTCCTGTGTCATTTTCTAAATTTTTGAAAAGGAGGAGGGATGGAAAATGCCTGTTGATCATATTGTGATGTACTTTTGCCTCCAGAAACTTCAGAGAGGAGGAGTTGGGAAAATCTGCAATTTCAAGAGGATCCCAGGAATGCTCATTTCTGCTTCAGAATGCTTATTCTGTCTTTCCCTAATATCATTGTCTTGTTTATAAATCTTATTGACCTAAATCTCTTTCTTTACTACATATTTAGTATGTCCTGTTAAAAATCGACTCTTAATCCTCTCGTTCACCATCCATTTCCTCGTGACATGGGCTGTATGTCCCTATTTGATCACAGTATGGATTCTGGATTCGCACCTCCCACATGTTAAGTTGACAGCTGCATAATCTCCAAATGCATTCTGGCAATGATGAATGCCAATGTTTTATGATGACATCCCAGGAATTCGATTGCAGCTGCCCATTGATATGAGTGGTATTTTTATTGTTTGGTGAGTTCAACAGACATATTAAGTACATTTGCTGCAAATGCCAAAAGAATATATTCCTACTTATTATAGTGAAAAATCAGAAACCACCCAAATGTCTGTTAATGGGGGGATGATTAATTAAATTATGGTACAGCCATACCATGGAATACTACTCAAACCCCCACAATGAAAGTAGCCTGACATGTATCAGGCTCCCTGTTAAGGACTTTGTATGCATCCTTTTATTTCATTCTGACAACAACTCCATGAAATTCCCATGTTATAGATGAGGAAGGACACTGAGACTTATCCAAAGTCACATAGGAAGTGGTATAGCGGTTATACTTTACTAGCTCATCATGTTAAAGCTACATGTACTGTTAACTCTCCTCTCATAGAGATTTGGTTCAAGATGGACATCGAGTTGCATAATCATGGAGAACAGAAATAGACTTAGGTAATAGTAAAAGCAAACATTTCTAAATGTCAAAGCTAGATTACTTCCAAAGGAGGTAAGTTTCCTATACTTTCCATGACTGAAAGAAAATTTAAGAGCAAGCACAAAGATTCTGATTATACATGCTATCCAAGTCAGAGATTTTTATATTTTCTCAGAGCAATTACTCTGTCAAATTATAAGATAGAAGCATACTTTTAACCATACTTTTGTTAAAATGTAATTGTTGATAATGTAAAATTAACATGTGTACATATGTTTTACAAATCTTGTTCTTTTAATATTTACAGATGGACAAAAGAGAAAGAAATCTTTGAGAAAGAAACTGGATTCACTAGGAAAGGAGAAAAACAAAGACAGAGGTAAAGGATTAAATAACTTAAGCAAACGCATCTTCCATGGAGCATGATGGTTGAATTTGGTGGAGTTTTTTAATTGCATAGATATACGTGGTTCAACTCTATTATGTAAACTGAATTTCTACAATGGAATGTCATTAAGGGCTGTTTTGGTCTACTCTTCTGTATTTGAGTAACCCTGAACTGAATTGATGAATTCAGTTGGTTTGAGGAGTGTGTGACCTCAGCCAAGTTTATGGTTCCAATTATGAATCTGGCCAATCAGCTATGCATAAAGAGGACCTGGGTCAAGTAGCCATGGACAGCATCTCTAACGCTAACCAGCTGTCTGGCAAATCCAGACAGGCAGGGCTAGTTGAATGAGAAAGAGTTAGGATTTGCTTACCATGACTACTGGAAAGAAAGTTTCATCCTCATGGGTTACTGAAGATGGGCCATTCTTAGCATGCTTGTTGTTTGGCCCATATGTTTTGGGAATTGTTGACACTGTAGGTGTTTGAGCTACCTGTTTTGTGTCCTCTTCTGTGTCCATTTAGGGAATTAACACGTTAGCCACTCTGAGGTATTTGTGGTCATTTTTAACTGATGTTTTCTGAGCCCATTGTCTCAGTCTTTTGTAGTTTTTATGATCCCTTATGAAATGATTGCTGAATGGTGTGGTCATATGAGTTTATTTTCACTTTATGTGACATTGTGAATGAGTATTGAATAAGGATAGCCATATGTCTCACCTTGGAGTTCTTTTATATAATAGTTGAATTTCTACTTAAAAAGTAATAGAAAGCAATGAACCAAGGGTATTAAATATAAATGCATTGTGATCAGTATTGGACAAGACCTATTTTACACCAGTGATCTCAGCCTTTACACTCAGGTCTTGAACTGTGCCTAAAGGGTTATGACATTTGATTCTTTGGGCTAACAGAGATAAGGAATTCTGAAGAATAGAAAGGCATTGTTTCACTTCTTTTGCAGTACAATTTCTCAACCTTGGTACTACTGGTATTTTAAACTGGATAATTCATCATTGTAGGAGCTTCCCTGCACACTATGAGATGTTTAGCAGCATCTCTGTCCTCTGCTCACTCAGCCACTGGCACTACCTTCAACCAAAATATATTCAGACATTTTAAAGGTTTATATTAAATTGGAGAAAAAGAAGAAGAAATACCAGTGATCCTTATCTCTGATTGCACAATAGAATCACCTGTGGAATATTTAAAAATTCTAAGACCCCCCCACCCAAGGGAGTCAGAGTCCATTGGTCTGCAAGGGTACCTTGAACATGGGCATTTTTATGAGCTTCTAATGTGCAACTTCTAGCATGAGAACTCTGACCCATATTAACCAGGATACACACTGGGGCATGTGTGTATCTGCTATTGGAATAATGAAGGCAAAGGGTTGTCCAGCTACCTATAATTGTCTGATAAATTGTGTTATATTTAATTGGTTATGTTCTTGCCCTTATTTTTCTAATGACCTGAATATTAATAGCCAACATTGTTTTATAAACTAGAATTTTGACTCATTCTATTCCTGCCATTGAGCACCTTTGCCTCTCTAGATTAGAACAATCCTCCATGTGTATAGAGTATATTAAAGGGATCACACAGGTTGGTATAAATCAGTGTTTTACAACTTTTTTATCTCACGGCACACTTGAACTTATAGTTAAACTTCCACAGCACACTTAAATTATGTTGATCAAAAAAAAAAGAGTAAAAAAAAAAGAAATATACTTACTGTGCTTTGAACTTCTTTCAAAAATAATTTAATTATCTTTAAAAATTTTGTAGCGCGCCTACGAACCTCTCATGGCACACTGGTTGAAAATCACTAGTGTAAATAATGTATTATCTTTTATTTTTAAATTTCAGATTAATGTGAGGGTATAAACAATTAGGTTACAATGTTTGCATTTCTTAGGTAGGGTCCCTGTTATAGCTGTGTCCTCCACCCAAGAAGTGTGCTATATACTCTTACCTTGTGCTTAGGAGCACACCAATTCCCTTCCTTCTTCCTTCTCCCCCTCTCTCCTCCCTCCGCCACCTTGAATTGAACTGAGTTTTAGATTAGTATTAGATCATCTACTGGCTTCATATTAGTATTGAGTACATTGGATACTTGCTTTTCCATTCTTATGATACTTTACTAAGAAGGATGTGTTTCAACTCTATCCAGATTAATACAAAAGATAAAAAGTCTTCATATTTTATGGCTGAATAATATTCCATGGTGTGTGTGTGTATATATATATATATATATCACAGTTTATTAAACTACTTATGGGTTTATGGACATTTAGGCTGTTTCCACATCTTAGCAATTGTAAATTGAGCTGTGATAAACAATCTAGTGCAAATTTCCTTGTGATAAAATGATTTTTTTTTCTTCTGGGTAGATGCCTAGTAATGGGATTGCAGGATCAAATGGAAGTTCTATTTTGAGTTCTGTGAGGATTCTCCAAAATTCTTTCCAAAGAAACTGTATTAGTTTGCAGTCTTACCAATAGTATAAAAGTGTTCTCTTCTTCCCACATCCATGCTGGTATCTACAGCTTTGGAACTTTGTGATGTGGGCTATTCTCCTGAGGTTAGGTGATATCTCAGGGTATAATGTATTATCTTTTAACATTGGTTTTTCCTAGGAAGATGATATATATATTTTTTTTATTGAATGGTAACTATGTACATTAATGCACTTCTGGGGTACAGTGTGGGGTTTTCACATGCTGGAGATGATATTGGTATTGGGATTTAAGTACTTACAATACAGACATTAGGTGATTTTTCAGAAGGTGACCATTCATGCTAAACTAAGCAGAATGAGCATTTTTGCAGGAGATAGCTATTTGCACTACCTCAACAGAAGAAGATGGATATGTGCTTGGTTATATTATGTTTAAAACAACAGGAAGAAAGAATGGACATGAATAGGGAAGGAAGGGCCAATACACCCTGAGCCATTATATATTTTTCAGACCAAATCGTACCTTTATAGGCTCAGTAAAAGCTGCAGTGTTCTATACTGCCTCACAGGGAGCTAAGTGGAAAAAGGAAAGCGGGTGCTGGTGGTTCCAAAGAAAACACCCATTACTCTTCTAAGGGGAGAAATATCAGTCTTCATGGCAGAAGAAGTTGGTTTTGTTAAGAGTAGATTTGATGTTTTAGAATAAGGTATCCTGAGTGTTAGCGAAGGCTAATCTGTGGCATCTTTTCTGAGGATAAAGCCCTGTCCCTATAAACACTGGGAGCCATCATATAGATGGGAACTAGGGAAAGAGGGGGTGGGGTGCTGTCCTGGCACAGTTGTAATCGGTTCACATTATTTCCTTCCAGATGAATATTAGCATTTGGGTTTATAACAGCTGCACATGTGAAAAATGATCATCATTGAATCCAAGAGTAAAAGAAGAAAAACAGGAAATTCTAAATGATCTCTTGGGTTAGGTCATCTAAAAATAAATAGGAGCAGCCATTTAGAATCAAATTGCTTTCCCAATAAAAAGTGAATAAAAAATGTTTGATATGCTGCCATATTAATTGATTTCATCAAATGAATCCTGTCCTGTATGTTATTTAATTGCCTTGATGTGCCTTGATATTATATGTAGCATTTCACGTAACACCCCTCTGTCTCTCCTGTCACTTAAGCCATGCCCATATGACTTCTGATTTTCACACAGAAACTAATTCAAGATTGAAACTGGTTTGGAAAATATATTTTCATATGGAATAGTTCCAAATCCTTAATTTCTCTTAGTTAAATTTCTTGGCACTCAGAAGCATTTTTAAAACTTTCAGAATTTCAAAAAATTTCTTTCTTGTGTCAAAAAGAAATCAGTTTGGGGGAAATGTCTTAAAATAACTACTTTGTTCCAGTTAATGTGCTTATTAATCCAAGACCATGAGGAATAGGTTTTACTGTGACATAACTCTGGGCGATAGGTCTCTTCTTCCCAAGACATTTTCAGATTATGGCATATAATTATCAACCTAAAACTGGATAAAGTTCAATTCTAACACCTCTGTTCATGTTGAAATCATATTGTACTGTGCTTTGTTGCTCCTCACTAAGTATGTCACTATATGTGAGCTGTGAAGTAACACTATGTAGGAATGAATGATACAACTTTCCTTTTGCCCCTTATTAAATAACAGCAGAAACATCAAGTTATCACTTATCAGTATGTAGAAATTCTCAAAGAATGTATATAGAATGCTGCCATTGAGCACTAGTCCTAGAGAGGAGAGAACTGGGGGAATGTGGTTTCAGGAAAATGTAGGAAGGGGCCATCTCACACAGGACTGTGAAGGCCACAGCATGATTTTTGGTCTGCATGCTAACAACATGGACACACCGTCAACTTGTACTAAAGAGACAGTGACTTGATGGTGTCTTTAAACAGATTGCCATGCAGCAGTGTAAGATGTGAACTTGGGATGGGGGTGACAACAGAGTAGAGAGAAGAATGCCATTCAGAAGGCTGTTTGGAAGTACAGGGGAAAGATAATGGTACTTTGAATAAGAGTGAGAGTAATGGTGAAAGTGAAGAGAAGTAGATGCAAATGAGAGGTATTATGAGGGGGATATGAATGACAAGGATATAATGATGGAGTGAAAACGAGTTATGAGGAGAAATGAGGTACAAAAGATGACTCTCCAGCTTTCCCACATGAAGAACAGACATACCATTGGAAATCTGAGTGGGATCTGATAGGGGAAGATGGGGAGTAAGAGATGTCTTTGGGACATCCAGGTGTAAAGGTGGAAGGAGCGGTTGGTGCTCAGAGGGGGGAGTCAGAGCTGAAGGTAGTAGTGAGGTGTCAAATCCCTAGGAATGGAAATTAGACTTAGGAGCATGGATAACACTACTTATGGAGAGAGGCCAGAGTGGGGTTAAGGTTGATCTCTGAGGACCTTCCACATTGAAAATCCAGGGAAAAGGCGATAAACCAACAAAAGGAGCAAGAATGTAGACAGAAAAGTAGACGGAAACCCAGTTAGTATATCCGGGATGCAAAAGGCAGAGTGTTTCCTGGAGCAGCCACCAGGGTTGAAGGCTGTCAAGAGGGCGAATGAAATAGAACCGTCAAAGACACTGAATCTTATGATCCTGAAGTCAGCAATAACTCAGAGCGAACTGTTTTAGAATAGCAGCAGAGCTATCTGCTAGACTGCATGAGACGAGGAGAGAGTGGCCGGTGAGAAAAGCATAGGCCAGAAAGGAGATGGAACACTTCAAAGAATTTGAACTCTGTAGAAAAGAGAGGGATAAACCATTGAGAAGAGAGTAAGGTGGGCCAGGGTTATTTACTTTTTACGGAAGGAGCTGCTTGAATATATTTAGTGTAAAATATCCAGTAGAAAAAGGAGTTGAAAGTATAGACAGGCACAAGAAAATGTCATTTATAGCAAGGGTTGGCCCACCAGCTGTATTTGTAAATAAAGTTTTATTACTTGTTGTCTTTGGCTGCTTGGCCCCTAGACTGGCAGAGTTGAGTAGCTACTACAGAGACTGTGTGACCTGGCAACAGGGCTGAGACTGAGGAGAGGCACCCTGAGCACCAGGGCACAGACTTGAAGGATATGCCCACTGTGTGTGCCTGAGTGGGAGCTCCTCATAATTTTTTATCCCAGGCATTCTAAGCTCCAGCTGTGCCTACAGAGCCTAAAATATTTTCTATCTGACCTTTTACAGAAAACAATTGCTGAATCTTAATTTATTTTGTAAGAGAATTAGGATAAGGATTTTGTGATCTTTGTTGTAGTACACTGTTGTCCCTGGTTTAAACTCATCAATTGTTGGAGCCTGGGAACTAGGGTGAGGCGGAGAGGTTGGTGGCTGAAGAGTCATCCTCCACAGCACACAAGGTGGGGGGCACCGGTGCCCTGAGTGTGAAGAGTGGAAGCCTTCCCACTTGCTGGTTGCTCTTCTCCTAAAGCAGAGGCAGAATCATTTGCTGGTGTGGAGGAGCTGCTGAGAAGATCCAAGGTGGCAGACGAATGGAGGGGATGGGACTGGTTGTTGAAAAGAGTAGTACGGCTAAGTCCACCAGAGAAATGAAATGGGGCTTTTGGCAAGTATTCAGGGCCTGGCTGAGGTTGGTGAGCATGGCCACAGTAGTGTCGGTCCTTTCAGGCAAACACGCACTCAGGCAGTCACCCAGATGCAGCCACCGAGGGCAGACAGTGGGTGAGTCTGGACGGGGACATTCAAGAACTCTAATTTGGAGGGAGGCAAAGACTGACTGGCAGAGGCTAATGGTGCAGAGAAATGTGGCACAGTTGGTGCAGTGGAGGGACCTTGGTAGCAAATGAGCTGACAGAGCATGCCAGAAAGACTGGAGTGTGGTCGGTGTAGCAGTTCCAGAGATGGGATAGGTTCTGGTTAAGGAAAGGTCCAGGATGGGACCAAGGGATTTGGTGACATAGGTGGCATGCAGAAAAAGGTAAGAGCACAGCTACAGTGCATTTTATGAGGGTACATGTTAAATCTACCAAGGGTAGAATATAAATATCTTAACACAATAAGAAAATGCAGTGAAGACTGTGTTAGCTAGTTTGATGAAAGTATTTCAAATTGTATATAAAATCAGCACACTGTAGCCCATGATTGCATTAATGTACACAACTATGATTTAATTTAAAAAAAAAGAAAAAGGTAAGAGGAGAAGCAGGTCAAGGAGATGTGAAGATTGAGTCTGATAGGTCATCTGGGTGGACATCCAAGTCACCTAGGATGATAGCAGATTGGGAGTCTGACCGTGAGTCAAAGTCAATGACAACAGAAGGTCAAAACAAGCAGAGGACATCAGGACCCTTGCAGTAGCAGATTTCCGCCACAAAGTGGGAAAGTGAATGTCTGGAAGTAGCAATAGGGAGCAAAAAGGATGATGCACAACCTCTCGACCTGGAGGCTCGTGGAGAGGGAGAATAGACAGTCACTACAAATGAGGACCACAGGGAAGTGTCTCCTTAGTGAGTACATGCCATAGATTAGAACATGGTATCCATTGGCTCTGGCTCCAGTCCTGTGAGTCTAGGGTAATGTCCTTGTTGTTTGAAAAACCCATTATCAACTTTATTACCTCCTATCAACACCAAGAGCCTAGAGACTCCTTTTTCCCCTAACAGAAGAGCTTTGAACTCACAGGTAGGCATATGTACCTAACACTTTATTTACACATAAAGGAGGGTTTTGCTCTAAAGACTTGGGATGAGCCCTCAATTTCATAATAGCTGTGTTTCTGAGAATAAATAATAGGAATCCTTCCTAGAATTTAGCATACACAAAATAGGCACTGGAACACAAGTTTCAAACATGGGAGGGCCTCCTTTCTGAAGCTTTTAGGAGTCCTTAGTGAAAGCACCAAGAAGCTGAAAAGACTACATCAAAACTCTACCACTGAAGGAATAATAAACTCAACCAGAAAAGAAAACCTGTTAGGCAGAAACAAAGCTCTGAATGGGAAAGAAAAAGAAATACAGATTGGGGGGAAATGACTTCATGTATTTCACTTGTTTAATGTGTGGTCAGTGATTCCAATTTACAAATAGAGTGGCAGACTTTTCAATGTTAAAAATGACAGGTTCCAAAGAAAACAATTTTTCTTCTTTTTGTTCCAAAAATATATGAACTCTCAAAATGAGTGTGGTTGGTTTTCCTTACGTGGAAAAAATAGCTAGGAAAGCGCACAATAGTCTCTGTCTTATGGTAATGTCCACTACAAGCGTGCCTAACGGAGCAGACACCTGTCACTTGCTACATTTATCAATGTTCTTTTTGCCCTATTATCTCCCATCAGTTTCATTATTTTATATATGTTATCAGTCTTGTCATCCACATGGTTCCAGATTTTCCCAACCTTTTTGAATTTTATTTTTTCTACAGACAAGATGGCACTGATATTATAATAAATCTTCAGGGTACACACAAATGGTCCGGTACTATCCCTTTTGGTCTCTCATTTTGCTAGTAGTACAGATATCCTTTTATCAGTAGTGAGTGTTGGATCTCCATGCACTGTCCATAGTGAATCACTCAAAGGAGAGATGCCTAAATTTTTATTATTATATATCACCTTGTTTGTTGGTAGTGATAAGTATCATCTAAAAATCCCAAAATGCTGAAGTTTTGAATTTTTACTTCAAAACAAATCCCATGTTTTGCTAGAACCAGAGGTACAGGCATTTCAAGTAGCACTTCTGCTTTTAATGTAGATTTGGCCATTAGCCTAGTGATGTTAAAAATGTTGCCATGGTTCAAGGAGGAAAACCTTTTAAAGCCTCTTTCTACCTGATTTAATGTTCGTTTTTTTCTTTCAAAGAAGAAATAACCTTAGAATTATGTTCTCTTGATCATTCTGGCTTCATTCCTAGGGCTTATGAAAACAATGGAGAGGCTAGACTCCAATTTGCTGCTGCTAGGAGACCTTATTTTGAGTTTAAAAGGAAAAAATGTACTTGATTAAATTATTAGTGCTTTTCAGCATGCATCTAGAATATTGCAGAAAAACTACTTGGTCCTAGGGATCCAAGGTAACGTGTATAAGTGAATGTACCACAGAGATCCAGAAAGCAACTGTATGCACATTTCCAAATAGAGCCATAGATTTATGCCTTATGCCCCTTCCTCTAAATCGTCTTTACTAAAGGATTTAACAAATTGAATTCTGAGTCTCCTGCCAGGTATTTTCTGGTCAAGTCCGCTCTGCACGTTACCATCAAAATGGCTTGAGTGTGGATCACAATGGTTACAGCTCCAACCCAGCTGGCTGGAGACAGGATGCGGGGCAAGGAACACAATGAAATCACAGAAAACTTCTTCCCAAGTAGCTCCCAAGCTGTCCCTCTGCCTCTCACGTTATCATTTCACGTGCAGACTCTTATTGGGAACTTCGGAGTGAATTTACTGAACTGAATTTCAGTCTGGACTTCATGCATCCATTACAACACACACAATAGTCACTCTGTTGTAATTATTTGCATGTCCCTCCACTCTCTCACCCTACCCCACATTCTGAATCCCTCAAGAGTAAAGACTGGACCTTTAATAAGTTTGTGCCACCCCATTGCCACCCCATGCTTGTCATGGCATGCAGTAGGTATTCAATAAGTGCCTGTTGAATGAATGTACAAATTCCATCTCCTCATGCCTTCTAGGCTTTGGAGGCTTCTGTGATCTATAAATCAAAGACTAAGAGGTTGTAAATCCTTTTGAAGATAAAATATTGTTTATACTCTATCAAAAATGCCATCCTTCTCTATAAAGCTATTTCCTTTAAAACAAACATGAGACATGGAGAAAAACTGGAGACCTAGATATCTAAGATGTGGTTATACATGCTAGCTTTCTTTACTGAATTTGAAACTTTGGTCATTCTAATAAATACAAAAGTCGTTTCTGTATTTTGATGGTGAATTAATTCTTCAGAAAACAATCTTAGGTCTGAAAGATGAATGAGAGTTTTCACTAATCCGGGCAGTCTCTGAAAGGGAATGTCTGTTTTTGTTTTTGTTTTTTTGATTCCAGAATTTATCCCACAGGCATTTGGAATGCCCTTATCCCAAGTCATTGCAAATGACAGGGCCTATAAACTCAAACAGGACTTGCAGAGGGATGAGCAGAAGGATGCATCCGATTTTGTGGCTTCTCTCCTCCCCTTTGGAAACAAAAGACAAAACAAAGAACTCTCAAGCAGTAACTCATCTCTCAGCTCAACCTCAGAAACACCAAACGAGTCAACATCCCCGAACACCCCCGAACCAGCTCCTCGGGCCAGGAGGAGGGTGAGTTGGCCAATATTTTCTCTGACACCAATGCTTGGAAAACTGAAGATGTATAAAGTTACTCTTTAAGTTTTTGTTCACATGAAAACTAGATATGTCGTTTGTGTTTAAATATCTGTCAATAACCCGTTTAGGGAAAATTTGCAGTGGGCATGTGACACCTAGCATAACCCTCAGAACTTTCCCTGACTCCTCTTGAATCTGTTGGGTACCCACTTTTGTCAGCTCTGTAGATCCTAAACATTCTACAATATTCCCATTGACCTTGGTTTCTTGTAGTCTGTTGCTTAGCCAGACTTCCCTGCTAGATGGTGAAGCTCCAGAGTGGGGTCTGGTATTCCTGCTAATTTCTTCATCCCTAGTCTGAGAACACGCCTGGCCAAATGCATTGGCTCCAAGTCTTCACAGACATTGAGAGTTTTCCTTATCAATGGATTATTTTTCTCAGAGCCATAGAATCACATATATAATCCTCTTTCAAACCAACACTGTAACAATATGGAACCAATTATTGAGTACTACATTTTAGGCACTGTGCTATTATTTGGGTTTTCAAAGTTCAAACCTGGAAAGCTGAGTTTTTTAGGCAAACTAGCTGCATTTCTAAAACTTCTGAGGTCACTGGGAGATCTGCTCTCTCTTTTGTCTACCTGGGGGCCCTAAACCTTTGTCACATTCATTGAAGACTGTTCGCTAAAACCCCAGACACTCCCACTTAAAACACACATTTTCTTTCTTTCTTTCTTTTGTGTATTTTGGGTTAATATGAGGGTTATATGATTAGGTTATATTAGTTGTGTTTGTAAGTTCAAATCCAAAATCCTAGTTGTAGTTAAGTCCTTCACCCAAGAAGTGTGCCATATACCCCTACACTGTACTCAGCAAGTGGAAACTTACTGAGCCCCCTCATCACCTTCTTGAATTGAATTGTGTTTTTCTCTCGTATGGGCCTTTAGTTGTTGATCTACTAGTTTCAGATTAGCACTGAGTACTTGGGATGCTTGCTTTTCCATTCTTGGGATACTTTACACAGGCAAATCTTCTCTAACTCCAGGTAGACACAAAAGATGTAAAGTCTCCATTTTTTTAAGGCTGAATAGCATCCCATGGTCTACATATCATGGTTTGTTGATCCATTCATGGCTGGATGGGCACTTGGGTTGGTCCCACATCTTTGTGTTTGTGAATCAAGCTGCAATAAACAGGAGCGCAAATGTCTTTATGGGGAAATAATTGTTTCTCTTCTGGATAGATACATAGTAATGGGATTGCAGGACCAAATGGGAGGTCTTGGCCCTCAACACTCAGGACTTCTCCAAGGTAGAGGGGGACCTCAGCCACTTCTGTTTTTGTAGTATTGACTATGTTTAAAAATGAAAAAATGATGAAAATGGAAAATAAAAATTATAGAATACTTGCATTTGCATGATGGAATTATTTGAATTCTGCCACTGTTTCTCAGATTGTGTGCATAAACACTTATGACAATAACACCAAAACTGTACATTTGAGTTTTCTGGGAATCCAGATCTCAGGCGATGGGCCTCCCAAGTGCTCTTTCCTCTGTCTAGGACCTGCTGGGGAACCAGCAGCCAACTTCTTCCTCTAAACTTTATCATGGATGGTGGCTACACCAAACACAGCTGGTGTCCTGCTCCCTTTCCATGAACCTTTATCATTTCTAGTGTGCCAGGTCACCTTCCACCTGCCAGCACCTCACCTCTTTCCTGTGGGCTTTCTCTGATGGCCAGAGGCACCTGGCCCATGCAGGCTGTAAGTACAGAGGAGATAACCTTATCTCCCTGCCCTATAAAAGGCTACCCTTAATCAGTGATTCTTGAGACCTGGATTATAAATACCTCAGCTCCCTCCCTCCTTAATAGGGTTAGCTCTGAGGTGCATAATCTACACTGTCTCCTAGAGCTCCCCAGGCAACTGGAGTTCCTGTTGCCCATCATGTATGTCAGTGGGCTTGATAATGTTCCCTTCATCGGCTGCCTTCCCTTCCTAGTCTCATTTCCCCACTACACTACGGGTGTTTCCTAGGACCACCTCCCTAATAAAGCACTTTGTGCAGCTTCTTGGGGGAAATGAAACTAAGAACATTTTATGAAATCCTCCTACTTTTAAAATCTATTTCCTGTAGTCATAGTTGAGTGTTTTTATTCAAAAGACTTCTCTGACTACCTCATTCATTGAGTATGTGATTTTTTTGTTGTTGTTTCAAAAAATAAAGTGCTTGGGCCAAAATACATTGTTTCCCATCTCTTGTCTTCCTTCAATTTGGAAAATTTTATGTATTGTTGAAATTGTAACTTCCATTACCTTGCCCTATGTTGTGGAGGTTTCCTATTCTTTCAAAAAGGCATTTTTTTCTTTTAATACAAGTAGCACAATTAATGAAATCAAGCCACATTATTCCAAGTCTGATAGTCATGAGCAAAAGTCTGTAGCTCACATGTGGGAGGAGCTGTTTTGCTTATCTGTGTGAACTCTTTTTCATGTTTGTGTGTCATTTGCAGGGTGCCATGTCTGTGGATTCTATCACTGATCTTGATGACAATCAGTCTCGACTGCTCGAAGCTTTACAACTTTCCTTGCCTGCTGAGGCTCAAAGTAAGAAAGAAAAAGCCAGAGATAAGAAACTCAGTCTGAATCCTATTTACAGACAAGTCCCCAGGTTGGTGGACAGCTGCTGTCAGCATTTAGAAAAACATGGTAAGTAGATTTGTTTGTAGGTGATCAAGTACTGAAGACTTTCATTTATTCCAGCATCATTGAAGCACCCAATTTCAATTTCTGAGTTCATGTGATCAGGCTCTGGGTCTGAACTTCCTTTGTGAAGAAAGTGTACAGATGTAAGAGTTTACTTAAGAGATTACCAGGTTAAACAAAATTCTGAGGGAAAAATCAACTTGATAGTATTCAGACTGCTCAGCCCTCAAGATTCCTCAGAAGTGGCCCTGGAGGCCAAGCAATTTAGGGGGGAAAAAATGAGTCTGTTGGAATGGATCTGTCCCCAGGACTGCCTTGAAATAGAGCAGAGCCATTTTTATCTTTACACATTGAGGTTACTCACAAAGTCCCCTTTAAAAAATAAGAGTCAAGCTTTTTTTGAAAAAGAAATCATTGCTTAAATGAATAGAAAATATATCATTTTTGACAAAAGGTTTACATATTGCTATTTGCATTTCTGTGGAAGATGTCCACTTCAAATTTCTCCACAGTCACTCTTTGCAGTTCAATTCCAGTTAATATGTTGACTTAAAAATGATATATAGTTCTTTAAAAATTTTTCTGAAATTTAGACATTGGGCTCATTAAACTTCCATTTCTATAATCTAAATTTGTTTATTAGAGTGTTAGCATGCATTTTATGGACATGGGACAAGTTTCCTAATTACTCTCTTAAAAGAATAATTTCATTATATCATATGAAAATAATATATGCTCCCTGTAGTACAAAAAACAGTAACCAGGAGAGAAAATTCCCAGGCTCCATGCTCCCATGCAGACCTAACTACTGCTAACATTCTCTTCCATATTCTTCTAATCAAAATGGGACTTTCTAAAAAAACTTCTTGAGGATATATGTAAATTTCGTAATCAACTCATTATATATAGAAATCACTGGATAATGTATGGATAACAATAAAATTAATGTATTAAAATCTTATGTTTACACAAAATTTTAAGTATAGATTTGTTTATTTTCTTTACCTAATTTTCACATGCCTATGTATTATCTGTGTCCCCTCTTTTTCTGTCTCTCTCTCCTATACACACACACACACACACACACACACACACACACACTGATATACAGTTATGTGACTCATAACAACATTTCGATCAATGACAGACCACATGTTATGATGGTAGTCAAATAAGATTAAAATACTATATTTTCCCTGCATCTTTTCCATGTGTAGAAATATAAATATCATTGTGTTATAGTTACCGACATTATTTAATACAGGAATAAGATGTACAGGTGTATAACCTGGGAGTGTAGGCTGTTCCATATTATAGCTTAGGTGTGTAACATCTGGATTGTGGCTACACCACAATGATGAAATCACCCAATGATGCATTTCTCAGAATACATCCCAGTTAAGTGACACTTAACTGTGCTGTGGGCAAACACGCACATGCGTGCATGCAAGCATACATGTGTATACATGAATATTTTCCTCTCTCCTTCTTGGAAAATAAACTGGAAGTCAAAGTCAATGTCTCAGTCATTTTGAATTCCCAATGCTTATTTATATAATTAACAGAATGTAGATGTTTGGCAAATGTTATTTGAACATAATTATTTTTAAAAAAAATAGCTTAGCAACTAAAGAAGTTAATGTTTTGAATATGTAAATTTGGTCTATATTTACTATGAGGTGGAAAAAGAGACACATGCTTTTAGAATTAAAAATTTTCCCTCTGAAGAATGTAGACAGTGAACTGGAAGTATTATGAAGAATTATAAGCAAGAAAATTGTACCCCAATGACACAAAAATCTACTGCCAGACTGAGTAACTGCTTTTATGAAAAAAAAATTTTGTGTATCTTTTTGTTCTCTTCTTGAAAATAAATTGTCATGTATTACAGTTTGTAAAATAGCATTTCTTTTAAGTGTATTCAAAAACGTGGCACTTCACTTTCTTTCTTTAAATTGTTAGCATGTAGTTTAGGGAGTAACGGCGAGAAGATAACCTGCTTGGATTTCCAAGGCCTGATTCCATTCCAGGTTTCCATAGTATTTCTCCCAAATGGCACCAGAAAAATAAGAGACACGTTCAAATTCAAACAGATCTTGACCTTGGTCACTTTAAACCAATGAAGAAAGAGCAAACTTCAGAAACATTTCTTCCACAAAATGTTGTTTTGCCTATTTTTGAAATGGGTAACAGAAGGCTCGAATCACTTTAGCCCTACAAACATTTGTTAAAGGTGTTCTCACCCTCTCCAAATTTGGTCTTAGACAATTAGATTGGGCCCATCTGTATTCATGCACACAACACTCGCTTCCTCACTTACATTTCATCCAAATGCTTTCTGTACTACTGGGTCAGAATTTTTTTAGCATCCTCAATTTTCCAGAAGCACGTATTTCACAAAAAGATAAACATATAGCAGAGAATCCAACTATATTATATTCTCGAGATTTAGGCTGGTTTTCAGGTGAGACCTGCTGTTCATTGTGCCTGCCCTGGTTTCTTGAAGTCCTTAAGCCTGAGATTTGGAAGTTTCTAAAGGAAAAGGGAGAAAGATAATCGCATCAATTTCTGGTACAGGACATATAATTGCCAGATCTCTGACTTTTTGGATCCATACTTGTTTTTTATCAATGACTAACTGTCTTATTTACTGAATAGCTCTACTGTATCTTCCCTTTGAGGAAAATGAAAAGCTATACTAAGTATATGTCAAAAGAAAGTACTAAAGACATTTAATTTAATTTTTAAAAACTTAAAAATTATAGTCAATTGAGATACATAGGAATTACAGTAATTAATCACTATCTAGTTACTTATTAGTTATTTGTAAATCACAATCACTGTTACCAAGTGAGAATTACTATAATAGAAGAAATAATGTCACAGCAATGGGCATTTTTGAACCCTCAAGAATTTCAGCCAACTGAATAGTCCCATCTATGTAGAAAATGCATTTATGTGATACCTAACTTCTCGAGAAATTTCAACCATTCAGAAACCACCTGAGATGAAAAAAGAAATACAGCCAAAACTAAAACTATTAAGACCTACTATTATTTTAAAGTTTTCAATTTTAAATAGAAAAGATTCACTGAGTTCATTCAAGCTTATTTTTCTGTATATAATGATATGTGCCAGATAATATTCCAAGTATTTTGTGAGCATTAATTGCATCATTGCACAACTTTTGAGGTAGGTACTTATTGTGATCATTTTGCAGATGAAGAAATATAATCCTCTACTTTATTCTAAATAGCTTGATTATCCTATTTACAATCTCCCAGAGAGGTAGAAGCAATAAATTAGATTAGGAGTTGGCTGCGGTCATGAGGCAGACAAACTGATGGCACTGACAAGGAGGGTTGTGAAGTCCTTTGAAAAAAGACACAAAGCAACATTCCTCGAGAGTAAAAGCACCACACTGTGCTACTGTGACCCAGCAATAACTAGCCTCTCTCCATGATTCTCCCAAATTATTCTGGAAATTCAGGATAATGCTTAAAAGATATAGAACTAATACTTGAGGTATTTATAGATGTTATCTTTTCTAACTAACTAACCCTAGAAAACCAACTTAAACAGTCATACTTAATACATAATGTAGAAAGACGATGGAATAAATACTCAAAAGACATTCATTTCCAGTAAAATATTTTATTTATGTTAATATAAAAATACCCAGCATATCTGCAATAATAGGTAAGGAACTTCTATGAAGAAAACTGCAAAGCTCTACCAGTAAGCATAAAAAACAAACAAATGAAGATGTTTACTTTGTTTCTGGATGAAAAGAAATAATGTTACAAAGATTTAAATTCTTTCCAACATAATTATATATTGTACTAGTCAGAACTCTTTCAGCGGCAGGAGAGAGGAACTTAGTAAAACTAGATTAAGCTAAGTTCCCTCTACTCCCCAAACCAACAGCAACATCTTGATTTGTATACTGAGTCTGATCTAGATTCAGGTAGAGCTGAATCTAAGATTCAAATGGTACCGTGAGCCCTCTCTGTTTGCTGGTTTCACTCTCAGACCAGCTCTCTTCATGTGGCTTCAATTAACTGTTCACAGCTCCAATATGGCATCACTCTCATAACCTATTATCCCAGATGAAGAGGAAATGAGCCACCAGTGAAAGAATAATTATAGACAGTGCTCATCAATGGCAATGATTAATGGCTGCCATAGAAATAGGAGAGACATTCAGACATCCTGTGCCCCCTGAAGGGAGTACACAATACCTCTTAGGAAGTATTCTTGCCCCCTACTCCCCAAATCACACCTGAATCAGAGAAATCTCCGGCTGTAACTCTTTTTCAGGAAATAAAGGCAAGAGCAGAACAAATAAATGACACCATGGAGTATCTAAATCCAGACCATGAGGAGATCTACAGTGGGAAATAATTGCTATTTCTTCATCAAATGTGACTGTTGACTGGAAATGTCATGCTACTAAGAAACTATTGTTGTAAATTCTAACATGTAGTAGTTATATTATTTGTGTTTTTTAAGAGACCTGATTTTTTAGAACCAAGTTTCTCAACCTTAGCACTACTGACATTTTATACATGTTAACACTATATATTGTCACATCTCGGACATGGAAAATCTATCAGAGATGTGAACGAAGCATGTGCACAGAATTGTTCACAGTCGGGTAATTTATAATGGTAAAACAAATGTATATTTGGGGGGACCTACACATTGTTCAGAGGGGAAATATGGCATAAATTGTGGCTCATGAACCCAATAGAATATTTTCCATCCATTTTAGGTGACAGTAGAAGGAATTGTTTCTGGCATAAAAATTCTTTTGGCATAATATCGAGGGAAAGCAGTAGCATTTTCTCTCTGTCTCTCTCCTGGTGGAAAAAAATATATATATTCATGGAGAAAAGCTAAGTAGAAATTAACTAAAATACTGAGTGATTATTTCTGAATAAGGTATTTGTAAAAGTGTGTTATTTGTACATTTTCTGCATTTTCTATATTTTACAAAGTCCATTTCAATTATTATCAAGCAATAAATGTCTATTTTAAAAATTGATAAAGAGCTAAAAATCATGGTTAGGTAAGTATTCTGAGCAATAGAGGAAATGTGATATTACTTTCTCTCATAGAAACATAGGCATGGAAATATATAATATCACATAGAAAATTTTTCACCTTTAAACATTCTGGTGTTTAAAGGGCTGAGCTTTAAGTATCTGGAAAAATATAAATAGTGTGGCGTGAAAGAAGTGTTACTGTGTGCTGAGAAGTTACTGTTGTCCTGCGTGTTGCGGCACAGTGCTGGCATTCTGCTCTCTTTCTATTTTGATTTTCTACAGAGTTGAAAGCCATAAAACAGGACTGTTGTTTTTGTTTGCTTATTCGCAGGCCTCCAGACAGTGGGGATATTCCGAGTTGGAAGCTCAAAAAAGAGAGTGAGACAAGTAAGTGAAAAGTCGAGATTATGTTCCATGTTTCACTGACTTTCAGTGGAACGACCCTGTGCAAAGTTCAAGTTTATGCAAATTCCCTTTTGAATTTTTTACCCTCCAACCAATTATAATAAGCTCAGAAAAGTTGTTAACAAAGTTAGGATCAAACACTTGAAAGCAAGACGTCTGGATGCACCCATGCCATGTACAGCCAAACAAAACGAACTTAGAACCATCTAAGTGAAATGCCAAAAGGATAGTAGGTAAGCAACAGTGAACAGAAAATAGTTGTATTGTAGTAACCATTTTTACTAAAATGTGATATGAAAATACCATTAACATGCTCATCACATAAGGTGCTGTGCTTGATAATTTTGTTTTTTCAACAATAAATAATTCTTGTTAGATTTCCATGGGTCCCAAATCATATTTCATGTAGGAACTGTACCTGTTAGTCTCCTTCAGCGCTGTGCAACATGCATGCAACAGAAGTTTGAGATCAGACCTTCAGGAATAGGCAGGTATCTGTGTTTGTGATGAACATAATTCACTTCTTAGCAAAAGAAAATTAAATGTGATTGTCCATCTGTTGGTTCCAGCAGAAGGAAACAAGTAACACAGCAACTCAAGGAAAGGAAGTCAGGTGAAAACAAATTGTAGTTGGATAAAGCTGAAGAAATGGTATTTGCTCATATTATTGAAAGTAACTGAAATAAATGCCGCCTCATCTGTCTTTTTTGGTCAAGATAAAAAGGTTTTTCCAAGGAAGTATGTTTTCTGATTGATTTGTTGGCTTTTTTCTTAGTAGTCACACAAGAGACTAGTGAACATTTAATGTGTCACAACAGGACTTGCAGGAAGACAACGCAGTAATATTTCTTAAGCCTCTCACCTGTGCAGAATTGCAGAACTTATTCACAAACATTCTCCCATTGAGTCTGCCCACCAGCTGTGAGAGTAGCTCCTTTAACCTACTTCTGTTGAGGCTTAGAAAGATTAAGAAATTTAATTCAAGATCACACAAATTAATCAGTCACTCTTAACTTCACAGGCCAAGCTCTTTGCATGGTCCATTCTTTTTGCATGTGTGTGTGCTGAGAAAAAGAGACAGGGTGTGTTTGAAGGATCACAAATTGGAGGGGAGCCAGTGGAAGGCTTCTTAGTTCCTGCTGCCTAACTTGTGCTGCTGGCAAGTTGTCTGGAATCAGTGAGTGGGTTCAGGATAGTGAAGGTTAGTCACATCAGGCGGACAGGTGGCGAGTGCTAGAATTATTCATCAGTTATATCTATATCCATCAAAGAGAAAGCCTTTGCATGGAGATTTACTTAAGGATTACCTAATAAAAATATAATTTGTGTTTACTTAGAATTAAATTTCAAATATGAAATATGCTCTGACTTATTCACCCTTTCATTTTGTTATATGACCTCTTAGCACCCCACACTTTTTCTTTAGTACATTAGTCATGATATTAAGTCATTTATGATATTAGTCATTTATGGGGTTACTTATCACCTTTTTAATCTACCAGTCTGAGAGATGGAGGAGGGTAGGAACTTCACCTCTTTATTCACCAATGTATTTGGGGGGTGCCATAACAGGGCCCAGTATGCAGGAGATGTGCAGTAAATCTTTGTCAAAGGAATGGATGGATGAATGATTGAATAAATGAACTCCAAGAGAAGTTTATTGTATAGCATAGATTCATGAAGTTCTGTAATTATTTTTATAGTGGAGACCAATGCAGAAGAGGAGTTGAGCTGTCAGAGATAAAACTAGAATGTGGAGTTATTACTCCTTTCTTCTTGCTATTTTTTTTTTCCTGTTGCTGTAAGTCGATAGGTCTAGTATGATTAAGGCAGAGAATCCTGGTAATTGTGAGTGAGGATAGTTGGACATGTCTAAGACAGTTTTTATTTAGTTATTGTCATCTTTTAGGCCTTAGTCACAGATATCTTATCCAGATTTTTAATTTCATCATTTGTAGAAAAATCTCTTTGTCTTTCTTGTTGAGTACCTCAGTAAACTATCAACATTCAACATGGCAGGATTGGTGACATGCCGAACTGCTACCTAATAAATGAATTCCTCCCGCCCACATTTATAGTTGACCTAAATTCTCTTCTATCTCTTGGTTCTTCTTTCCAATGTTCTGGTTGTCATTATAGAGCCCCCTGTTTACATCATTAACAGTAAATCCATGGATAGTTTCCTTAATAATGCCTTCAATACATATTATCAGTGCTGTGTGCAGACTATGCAGATCAAGACAACTTGTTTGCTTCTCCTTCTTGGGGTCTTTAGAGACTTAATTCCAGATGCTGCATGTCACAGCACTTCTTTTGCTGGGCATCACATGTTGATGTATGATGTTACATGACTACCACTTAAACTGTTATTTTTCCAGTTACGCGAGGAATTTGACCGTGGGATTGATGTCTCTCTGGAGGAGGAGCACAGTGTTCATGATGTGGCAGCCTTGCTGAAGGAGTTCCTGAGGGACATGCCAGATCCCCTTCTCACCAGGGAACTGTATACAGCTTTCATCAACACTCTCTGTGCGTAATATAGCCATTTGTGGGAAAGTGGCCCTAGAATACTGAGATATCCATCTCGCTCATCAAAATCTTGTGCATGGATTTCCCAGAAATTATTTTGGTCCTTATTTATCAGTTTCTAATGAGTGGGCTATTTGGGGAATTTTCTGAGATTTACCCTAGGGAGAATAATCAAGAAGAAAGTTATAACAAACAAATAGAAACAACCAAGAAGAATTTGAGATTCTTGGACAGCAGAAAGCGCTACAAATTGATGTTTTGGAGTACCAGAAAGAGTTCATATTGAATCTGCCCCTAAAAATGAGGAACACATACTGAGCATTTCAGGTGAAGCAAAATGGCATAGCCTAGTGCCAGGGTTTCCAACATAGCTGTAGGTATAGATCCCACAAATGGAAAAGGGCAGACGGAGGGATGGGCTAGAACTGGCTCAGCCTCTACATTTCTTCCTCCAATGCCACAATTCAAACAGAATCATAGACTAGGTGTGGTGACTCATACCCGTAACCCCAGTACTTTGGGAGGTCTAGGCAGGAGGATAGCTTGAGCCCAGGAGTTAAAAAAAAGGGGGGGAGATTACAACAGAGAAAAAAGTCATTGCCATGATACTGTGTCTTCATTATAGCCAACAGAAAAGAGCCTTGAATATGTTATAAACTCAATTTCAGAATAGTCGTCAATTCTCAGTCATTGTAAGTAAATATTTACCAACAATGAAAGACTGGAGTTCATAATGTAGATGCTAAGTAAAGCCAGGTAAAGGAGGGAGAAGAAAGTAAGGAAAATTGAGTTGCCTTTTCCACCTGGATTATAATACCTTTCCTAGATGTTACACTTCCTTGGGTGTGATTTTTCCTTATATCTTTCATAGAACCTTGTTTCTAAATTGTTAAAGCAGTGTGGAGATGGGTAAAAGCAAGAAGTGGGACGTGCCTTGATAACTCCTTTCTGAGAGTAGTTGAGAGGAGGCCTTTCAGCTCCCATTTTACTTACTCAGAGCACATCTTTTTGCTTTGCTTAGTGTTGGAGCCGGAGGAACAGCTGGGCACCTTGCAGCTCCTCATCTACCTTCTACCTCCCTGCAACTGCGACACCCTCCACCGCCTCCTACAGTTCCTCTCTATCGTGGCCAGGCATGCCGATGACAACGTCAGCAAAGATGGACAAGAGGTAGGACCCCTTTGCTGCCATAGACAGTGTGACACATTCTTTCTCCCACTTTAAAATGGCACACCACCAATATGGCTAAACATTTCACCTGGGAGAAATGACACACCCCTTCCCTGATCCAGGGCCTTCTCTGGTGGGATAGTTCCTAGGAGTGCGTGGGCTGTTAGCCTGCTTGTATGGTTCAAGGATGCTTCTGAATGAGGCTGTCATTTTCCATAACGATGACTAAAGACCCCAGATTTTCGTTTGTCAGAAGACAAACAACGAGCTCCAGGAGTGCTCGTAACCACATAAAAGTAGACTAATGGAGGTAGGAGGAGATTAATATTCTTGCAACTGATTTTATTTGTTTCTTTAACTTGGAGCCCAAATATGATGTCACTTCTTTATTCGTTTTTTAAAATTCTTTATTAAATCATAACTGTGTACATTCATGCATTTATGGGGTGCAATGTGCTGATTTGATATACAATGTGGAATGCTTACATCTAACTGATTACCATAACCATCTTCCAGTTTATCTAGAGAGGTTCCATTTGCATTGTTAGCAAGAATCTATTATGTCACTTTGGAGGGATAATTTCCTTCTTTAAGCCCTCCTCCCAAAATAAGGATTTTTCTCAGTGCAATGGAAGGGCAGTCCTGCTTCTAAACCAGGTATAGAGGGAACTAGATCTGATCTGCTGACTGTTGCCATTGTGCCTCTATGCCACATGATGTCAACTGCTGAAAGCAGGTTCTACATAGTCCCTCAAAAGTTTTGGAGATGCCCACAAATCTGAGGGCACAGGCTCTGGTTTTCTTTAGTCACACTCATATACTTTAAGCTGTTTTGTAGTTTTATCCTTGGACAAAGGAGATGCTGGCTTCAATGTTAAGTGGCCTACTAGCAAACCTGTTTAATCTTCACCTTAACAGGAGACCTCTTTTGCTCTTTGATACCATGAGCCATGTACTTCTCCCTGACCTGGGATTCCCCAGGAGGTCTCAGACCCTTTCATATATTAACATGCACTGTAAAGCAGCAGGAAGGGGAAGAGGCATTCCAAATTTAACCACAGGAACATTGATGTAAATCCTTGTTAACCAGGGCTCAGCTTCCTTGTGGATTCAGTTCTGTATTTGTCAAATTTCTTTCCCATAGGACATGGTCATATGTAGTTTTTATTCACCCTAATCCAGAAAGGCAATTCTGCATTTCTCCTCCTCCTCTTCCCCATGGATGTGAGAATGGAGCTTTCCTTAGGTGTCCATTTATCTCTGTAGTAGTTATAATTAGTGAAACTCCTGCTAGCTTCAGGTTCCATAATGTGGCATTGAAACCTTATTTCAGCATACACAGCTTGTTGATGGTTATACTGTAATTCTCATAATTGGTAAGTGGTTATATCACCCTTCTGAATGTCAGCCTTTATCGACTGCACACTTAACAGAAGCTGTAGACTCATCTGCCTAATTGCTGGGTCAAAGCAGAGCCCAGTGTTCAGGCGCTTCTCTGACATTTCTTAAGTACTACATGGGAAAGGGAAAGTTGGGTGTTAGGTGATTAAGGTGCCATTGAGGAAAGTGCAAAGTCCAGTCCAATCAAACCCACTATTTTTCTTTTAGTATCATTTTCAGACACTCTTTCAGTACAAATGCTAAGCAAGACTTCATTGCCTATACTAGAAAGAAGAAAATATTCTTGGATAGGTGTAAATGAAGTTTAGCATACTAGAAATAGTAGCTACCATTTATGTTTCTCCTACCATGAGCTGGCTTTCTGTCAGAGGCTACAAATGTAAGTAACATTCCCAGCACCCACCAGGGAGCTTCCACATAGGATTGTACAAGTGGTGACTCTGCCCACTTCACAACTCTGAAGGAGGTGCCATGTACTCCATAATCACTATGGATGTGCAGTGTTATTAGGACAGTATGTGATGATGATAGTAACAGATCTGAAGGATGAGCATTCTTTTTCTAATTCACACAAAGTCATTCTATTGGCTAGTGGTTGGGTTGGTTCTCTAACTAGTAAAGTCCCGCTGTGCATCAAAGCCAAGTCAGTATAAATTATTGAGAAAATGAACACATATAGAATAGGAATTAGGAAGAAAAAAACCCCACTTGGGGTCTAGTTCAGAGTTTCTTAACCTATGTACAATTAGTACTTAGAGCTGGGTAAATTCTTTATTGTAGGGGTTGCCCTGCGCATTACAGGATGTTTAACAGCATCTTTGACCTCCACCTGCCGGATGCCAATAGCGGCAGACCCCCTCTTTCCCAAGTTGTGACAACCAAAAATATCCCCAAATATTGCAAAGTCAAAATTTCCCCTGGTTAAAAGCAGTTGGTAGCTTTATAACTCACTGACCACATGTTCTTAGACAAATCTAATAACTCTCTGAAACCTGGGTTTTTTCATCCGAACTTAGGGAATAAAAATTCTTCAACTGGTACTGCATAGTGGTTGAGAGACCTAGTTTACTATAAGGGATATGAAAACATCTTGGTACCAGTGAAGTTGTACAAGGAAGCAAGGGATCACAAGGATTTCTAGACATTCAACCTAAACCTTGTATGAAAAATGAAGGACTAATAGCCAAATATTAAAGCAGCAGGGAGACTATAAGGAGAGCATTGATTCTGTAAAATTGTTGGCAGTGACAGGACAGCAAGTAACTGGTTCTGCCATCTTGGATTAGAGTAAAGACTTCTTGGCAGTGAAGCTCTGTGGAGGATGATGGGAAATGGGGCCATGTTGTTAGAGTGCTGAATGCCTCTGGGAGAGGCAGGCAGGTAGCTAATTGTTTTAAACCGTGAGTCTTTAGAAAGATTTGACTAGCAGATAATATAACTCATGCTGTAGACTGGTGAGAGACAGAGGAAGAGCAAGTTAGGAAGCTTTTGTATCAAAGGCAACATGGACAGCAGCAAATCCTTCCACATACAAATGGCTTCGGTATTTGAATTATATAGGAGTCCTCAACTCCTGAGTTCCTCCAAACCAAGGATTGTTGTTCAGAGATTTTCTAATGACTGTTATCAGGAAGATGTGGCATCAAAGAGGTGGATAAAATGAGGACACAAGGCAAATGTAGAATTAGGGACTAAAGTACAGAGTCACTGCAGACGTTGAGAGCAGAAGCCATGAACGTGGGTCAGAAAAGTTAAGAAGGGCTTCGTGAAGGAGGTTGAATTTAAGCTATACATCAAAAGATGTGTGGGGATTGGGTAAATGGACCACATAAGCAGAGCATGGACATGTGAGTTAGCGAGACCCCTCCTGGTAGAAGTTGAGGGTAGAGGAAAAGAGGAAAAGTTCTCTGTTAGGTTTCTACTTGGTTTGGCATGAGCAGGTAGAGAATAGAGAATGGGCAGACTGGGGCAAGGCTAAAACTCTAATTCTAATATATGGGAAAGAAACAAGTGTTTTTCAGTTTCTCTTAACTATTTGTGAGTTTGTGCTATCTATTTGTTTTTTAATGGATTGAAACATAGAAGAAGCTTAAAGGCTCACACAGCCCCTGCCAGTACCTTGCTGCATGACCTTGTCTTGATGAAAGAGAGGAAAAGGAAGGAAAACAGCTGGAGTGGGGGACGGTGTCAGCTTCCTTGTTAGCATCCTTATCTATAAAGTGAACATAATGTTTCCTCTGTAGCTGCTAAAATTCAAAACATCATTAATTGATGGGATCTTAAAGATGTCTAAAAGAAGGGGAGATGAGAAAAATTGTTGACTAGTCAATCAAGGCGTTTAGGGGGAAAAATAGCAGTAATTTAATGGATTGTGGTATTTTGCTATCTTGTGTTTGTTTTGTTTTCTTCCATTTTATTTGGTTTGCTATTTGCTTTGCTCCTTAGGGAAAAGAGAAATTCACAAATGTAAGAAACATTTTGTTCTTCTAGAAAGAATATGGCAGGAACAAAATTGAAACCTCCTGAGCAGTGGTTTTTCAGAGAGTCCAAGAACCCCCGGCATTGCATGGAATATGTGGTGTGACCATGCCCTTGCTTGCTGAGAAAGTCCATAGCTGGCCTTGAGTCCTTACAGGGCCTATACGGTGAAAAAGGACTTAGGAACCACCATTGTAAGGCCATGATTGCTGATCTTTGAGGAGGTACATGCCTCCAGGAAATGATATGTTGACTTTGGAACTTTAGCAGGACCTCTACCTCACCTCGGCCCCTCCCAGCCCTGCTACCAAGCTCATTTTCCCATCTCTCCATGCCATGCCAAGGTCTGTCAAGCTAGAGGGAACAGGAGCAAGTACACCAACATGATGAAGAGAATAGAGCTGCCAAGAGCAAGGCCATCAGCTTCACTTCTTGCTGCACCATCCCCTGGCTCTGGGCTCTGGGCATCACTTCCTCTGTCTGTAGTATAAGGCAACAGCAGCAGCTACTGTGTAAGCTTATAGTGAGAAAAAGTTTAAATGCCTGCTGGAAAGCCCCTAGCTCACTGTCTGTACATAGTAGACCTGTAATGAATGTGAGCTATTCACATGAGGCTTAGAAATGATCTAGGATGGTTATTTGGTGAAGATTAAAGTTGCACTTGAATTGGCAGGTTAATTAAATAATGAAGTAATGGCCAGGGCTTGAGTGCACATTATATCGCCTAGATACAGCAGAATAGTATATATAAATATACCACGTATGCTGAAACACGAGGACCAAAGGGGGAAGGTATCTGGAAGCAGGTCTCCTTTCTAATTTAAAAAAAAAACAATAACACAAAACTAAACCCAAAAGTGCTAACAAACATGAGCAGCCTGGTCTGCAGCTGGAATCTATGGGCGATTTCACAGATGGATTGTATTGCACTCCCAGAATAGCAACAGGAGAAGGAGAGAGCGGAAACAGAGCTCTGGATTGTCCTTGCACCAAACATTCTTTTAAAAGAAAACAAAATCTTCTATTTGTTAATGTTAAAAAAGAGAAAGAGAAGATACTAATATTACTTTAAAGGGGGAAGAGGAAGCACTCCAAATGTCTCTGAGTTCTAAAGGGACAAATCTGGAAATGACACATTTTTGATATTGTCCTTACCCATGGATTTCCAGGAAAAGAAATGAAAAATAAAGCCAAATCTTGTCAAGTTTTTTTTTTAATCAATGAAATAAAGTGAAGAAAAATAATTGAATGGTCCTACATAAAGGGCACTTTTGTTCAAATTTCCTGTGTATGCCACATGAAAGCATTTCCCTTGGTGGCAAATAATTCACCTGAAAATAGCCTCGCCTTCTAGAAATAACACAACTGCTATATCACACTTAGATTGCAGGGCAGGGCAGCCACCAGCTCAGGGCTCCACAGGACAAGGGAGGGACTCAAGGAACTTTGTCTCAGTTGTTCACCAGGGCTTTTGAATTCTATGCTGGGCACCCAGGTACCTCCCCAAGGCTGTGTAGACCTTTCCAGACAAACGGTCCCCACCAAGAGGCCATAGCTCCTACACTTAACCCAGCAATCCTAGATTCTCAACTATTAATAACATTGACAAGATAAATAAAAATTCACACAGGCCAGTGTTCAACCAGGGGCAGTTCTTCCCCAAAGGGGACATGTGACCATGTCTGGAGACAATTTTGGTTGCCACAGCTATAGCTGGAGGGATGTTCTGGCCCGAAATGTCATTAGCAACAGGGTAGAGAAACTCTAGCCTAGGGAACTTATCCAGATATTCCCTCCCATCTGAAAAAGAAACAAGTGAAAAGAATTCCCAAACCTTTAACAATGTTCATATTCCTTATTACAATAATTTGACCTGCAGGAATCAACTCCTATGATAGTGCTTGGCCAAACTCACAAAATGTCTTTTCAAAGATTTTTTTGTACCACTGCTTATAGTAACAGAAAATTGAAGACAACATAAGTGCCCAACAGTTGGCTATGGTTAAAACAAAGCATGGTCTATTTGTGCTACAGGCTGCTGGGAGGACAATAAGGGTTGAAGATAGACTTTTGAAGTGTAAAGATTAATGTAACATTTTTAGGAGACAAGTTACAAAAAATATGTGGAGTCTGATTCCAGTTTTATAAAAGAAAGTAACATAGGTATATTTGTATGTGTGTGTGTGTGCATGGCTGCTTCTTGGAAGTGGTGGAATTGTGGACTTGTTTTCTTTTCTTTTTTTTTTTTCTGCAGTTTTTGGCCGGGGCTAGGTTTGAACCCGCCACCTTCGGCACATAGGGCTGGCACCCTACTCCTCTGAGCCACAGGCGCCACCCAGGACTTGTTTTCTTTATGATTACCCGTACCTTCTAATTATTAGCATATTGGACATGAGTAGTTTTTTATGATTCAAGCTTAAAAAATGAGTTCCTTTTCTTCACCCCGTACTACCCTTTAGCTCCCCTCATTTTTCTTCTCCCTCCTTCTCGGGGAGACATTTTGAAGGATATGTCCGCATTCCCTCTTTCTACTTTTGCAACAGCAGCTCATTCCTGCCTTACCTCTGAAGGCGCTTGGCTAGGACATCAGAGCCATCAGAGAGTCCAATCTGGAGGGAAAGCTCATATCTGGGTGAACCTCTGCCGCAGTTTATCACTCACTTGGCACTCCCCTATCATTTCTTCTCAAACACAAGCTTTTCTTATTTTCCCACCTTCTAACCCATCCTCGGTCTCCTTCATCCACTGCTCCTTGAGGGAGTTGGAGTCTCAAGAACCCCTTCTCAGCCCTCCCTATTCCTCATTTGCTCTACCTCCATTCACAAAATGTTTGTTTGTTTCAACATGGACTCTTCACCCTCAGCATTATCCCCTGCATTTGTGTCCCCTAGGTAACTTTGGGAGCTGCTGTTCATTCCTACTTCTTTGATCCTAGTTCAAATGCTAGCGGCTGTACCCTAGATCATTGCCATGTGCCCCAGGTGGTCTCCTTTGCTTGCATCAGCACCCCTCAGTCTGTAGATTGCTCTTCCTAAAATGTAAGTCCCATCTCCATTCTGCTCTGTTCAGAATCCTCTCGTCCTTAGACCACAATCTGAACTCCTTGATCTGACACACAAGAACACTCTCACCTAGCCCTTGCCTGTATTTCCTGCACAACCCCCTCTCACACTGAGCTTCCTTACGTATTTTACATGTTTCTGTCTCTGCATATGGTGTTTTCTGCACTGTGAAATTGCCCTCTGCCCAAGATCCTCTGCTTTTTAACCAAGTAAATTCTATTCTTCCTTCCAAATTTTGTGTAAATACTATTACCTCTGTGGTAGGATTCCTGAGGCCTCTGGGGTCGAAGGCTTTATATATCGTACTCACTATATATTGTACTCGCTGCCTATAAACAGTAGTTTATTTCTGCCCTAGACTATGAGCCCTTTAAAATAAGGCCTGTGTTGTGATTATTGTTGGAAATATTTTAAAATATTAACAATCCATGAAGAATACCTAGTGTGTGTTAGGGGCTGAGTGGATGGATCAACGGAGAGACTATGGCTTGATGGATGAAGGGATGGATAGACATCAGTATTTCTTAAGTACAAACAGGATAGAAATTTTATATAGCAGTTGTCTTATAATAAACTACTTGAAGTTGTCGTTTTTTTTTCCTCAAGATGCTATTGAGATGATCACTGAGTTCTGAACTTCAGTCCATAAACCAAAGGGAAATGATGATGTTCCTCATGGATTCTGAAGGAGTTGCAAGGACAAAAATAGAAAAGAAAAGGTTTCTATTGATTATTGAGCCACCCTGCATTTTGAAGAACAAACATAACAGTCCTTGTGTTCTCTTCTCCTATAGGTCACTGGGAATAAAATGACATCTCTGAACCTGGCCACCATATTCGGACCCAACCTTCTGCACAAGCAGAAGTCATCAGACAAAGAATTCTCTGTCCAGAGTTCGGCCCGGGCTGAGGAGAGCACAGCCATCATAGCTGTGGTGCAGAAGATGATTGAAAATTATGAAGCCTTGTTCATGGTAGGTGGCCCTTCTATGACAGGACATCTCAGTAAGCCACCTGTTGGGTACCTCCAGTTCACTACCTTATGGTTTGCAGTGTTGGTCACTGACTGAATTCATTGGAAGCCAGGCAGTTTCAATGAGAATCGAAAGTTTCCTAACTACGATATCACTTAAGTTTGTGATTCCATGTTTTAACAAACATACTTGGATTATCAATTTCATTTTGTTGTTCTCTAAACAATAATCACAGTTTGGGGTCATTTAATCATTTATAAAGCAGTGTCCTTGCTCAAAATATTGATAAAACCCTTCATTTGAGAATTCTGTATTTTCATAGGCATCCTCAGTGATGGCATTTCCTCCAAGGTCAATCTTGACATTTCAGTTTCTGCATTAAGCTTCACCAGACCTTCCCATGTCCTTCCCATGCCAATTCCTTGCCTCACGGACTCCATTACTGTTCTTACTGATGTTTATCTGACTCAACATTGTGTATGGTCATTTATGACCATTTCCCCCGGTAGATTATAAATGTACTTAAAACAAGGGCTGTTCCCTTGTTATCTCCTCTCTATCCTCTGAGCACTTTTGGAAGGCTCTCCATCTGGCAAGCACTCAATAAATATTTTTTGATTTGTATTGAATTACCAGTTCCTGTTTTCCTTCATAAAACTGCATCGCTTGCTCAAACTTCCCTTGAACAGTAGAACCAATGCCAGCTCCCTTCTATTTCTGTTCACTGCTCAGATTGCATGTCAGAATTTACAGGGACTTTCTCTCCATTGCTTCTCCCATTTCTTTTGTCAATTTGTAAACACCATAAAGCCTACCTATTCCTCTAGAGTTTTTTGTGGCTTCTTCAACTAAGAAGGCCAGTTTTCTGTTGTGAATCCTTTTAACAGTTTGGCTACACTTATTAAATGTCTTGCATTCAATTTATCTCCATGCCTCTCTTATACCTATTTTTTGGGGGGGTATATTTTCAAGCCAGTTGAGGATATTTGCCCTCTCTATCTTACACCTATGTGATGATGACCAAGTAATTTAATACTCATTAGGCATAGATTTTAGCTTCTGTGAAAGGGGAAAAATAAAAAATATATCCTAATTCCCAGAATGCTTACCAGAACCATTTGATCTATGGAAGTATTCTGCAAGCTGTATGCAAGTGTTAATTAATAATTATGTTATTTGGATAACACAAGTTGCCTCAAATCTTAGTATTTGAACACAGCGGATATAAATATCTCTTTGAAATAAAGTTTAATCAGATCTTTGGTAGAGAGGCCTTCCAGATGTTTGGTGCTTTTGGTGATTTAAGAACCCCAGCTCCTTGTATCTTGAGACTCTGCTATTTCCTAGGATTTTACAGGTAACCCCAGAAAGGGCATCCATCATATCCACTCAAATCCTATTGGCCAGAGCTTATCCACCAGCCATGCTTAACTTCAGGGGAGGCTGGAAAACATATTGTGGTTGGATGTTGAAGACGAAGAGAAAATGGACCCCAGTGAAAACTTCTACTGAGGTAGAAGAATGTCCTGTTTCTCTTTGTGTCTCTGAAGCACTGTTCCTGTGTAACACATGATAAGCTCTAAATAAATGTTGAATTCACCATTGACTCTATAAATTTCACCCTTCAGCCAAACACTCATAATTAATTATATACTTGGATGAATCAAATGTTTGAACTTTTCAACATTTTCATCAAGTTTTAAGTCATATATCATCTTACTAAGTATCCTTGGCGTTACTTCACTTTCTCTGGATTTTTAACAAAATAATACTTCTCTTCAATCCTAATTCAATTATCTAAATTCTGTATTCAAAACCAAGTTCTCTTTATGTGAAACTTCAAAGAATCAAGTGTTTCTTTTCAACCTAGACACTAACAAAACTCTTTCTGGCTTTTTTTTTTCTTTTTGAGACAGAGTTTCACTGTGTCGCCCTCAGTAGAGTGCTGTGGTGTCACAGCTCACAGCAACTTCCAGCTCTTCCTGAGTAGCTGGGACTATAGGTGCCCGCCACAATGCCTGGCTATTTTTGTGTTGCAGTTTGGCTGGGGCTGGGTTTGAACACACCACCCTCAGTTTACGGGGCCAGTGCCCTACCCACTGAGCCATAGGCACCACTCAGCATATCATTCTTAATCTCTTTAGATAAATTATGTAAGTTATATATTAAGAAAAAGAATAATAGAGTAGGAGGAGAATGGGGACAAAGACCCTCAATGCTGAGTCTATATAAAAAGAAACTGGCTCTGGAACCAGAACACTTTACCTTAGTCCTGTCTCTGCTACATTGGCCTCATGAACTCATCTTCTTAGATTTCTGTTTCTTTACTTATCGAAAGACTAGGTTTGAGTGAATGGTATCCAAGATCTCTTATGGTTCTAAAAATCTGCTTGGTTCTACACCATGGCACTTCACTTCCTTTAGTTTTATAAAGCACGGAAGAAAATCTCATCACATTTTAGATTTTTCTTGGCATATTTGGCATTTCAGAATCTATTATAGTTACACCAAAGCTGGTGGTTGGTCGACAAAGCTGGTCTATGTGGGTGGACAAAAATGCAATCATGTATATAGCTATTTCACTTTGTTTTGTTTTGCTTTTTAAAGAAGCTTTCAGAATTATTATAATTCCAAACAAGGAAGAATGAAGCTAGACAGGACCTGATGGTTAAAAGTAGTTAGCAATTGTGCAGTTTCATAGTCCTTGGAAGGGTTTACAAGCTCGGAAAGGGAGGTGTCACTTCTATTGGCATTAGAAAGGAAGACTTGTTAGGGAAGGTGGCCATGAGCTTGTCCTTGAAGACAGAACAGACCTGGAGGCAGTGATTCCAAGGAAGAACTGATGGATAGGATGTAGAAACCCACAGAGGCCTGGCAGGAACCCAGAATTTGTTCTGAGTGTTCTAATGTCCTTCATTTCCTGATGCTGAGAATGCCTCTCCCAAGTGGCCAGTATCTGAGTTAATGGGAAATGGCAGAAAAGAGCCTGGCTTTGTCCCATAATACAGAAGAGGCAACTAGACTCAGAGACTGACACATGATTCAGGAGTCTGGCTAGAACAGTCGTTTGCATTGGTTGTTTTCTTTTTAGGCACTGTTTTGGAAATCCTAGAGCTGGAAATAGATCATGATAACAGATATCATGACCGCTCTGTGGAAAGACTGAGGCAGCATATCATAACTGGGCCTCAAGTCTGAGCATGTACCAGAGATGCAAGGAAACTTGTTAGGCATACAGATTCCTTGGCGGCGCTCCGGACAATCAGATCGAGCACCCTTGGGATTGGACCCAGGAATCTGTACTTCCTAATGAACAATTCCAGGGTGTTCTGGCAGTTTCCTAACCACACCTTGAAAAACCATATCTTGGGAAACACCAAAATGGTGTAAAGACCATGAGATTTGGAATGAGCGACCAAAATTCAAATCCCTGCTCTGTCACTTATTTGCTATGTGTTCTTCAGGCCACACTTAAATTCCCTAAGCCTTCGTTTTCCTCTTGTAAAAAAATAAGATGAAAAATAAGACAAAGCGACCTACTTCACAGTAGTGTTTTGAGAATTAGAAATGACATTTTAAGGATAGGATTGGCATATGCTAGGCACTAAAAATAAATAGTGCTGCTGTTATTACATTAAAGTGATGAGGTGCCTGCCCTTTCAAAGCACATTCAGGTGTCACCTTGGAAATCAAGCCCACTCTGACCACTGTATATAATAACACTGTCACCTGCTCCCACACACCCATACTCCCAGGTCCGTCCTTTGCTCTTCTTTTTTGTCCCATAACATTTATCACCTTTGAACTTATTATATAATTTACTTGTTTATCATACTTGTTGAAACCTAATAGAATGCAAACCTTATGAAAGCAGAGATTTTTGTTTGTTCTGTTCACTGACATTCACAACAGCTGAAAAGTCTGTGTCATAAGAAGGGTACTCAGTGATTGTAGCCACTCTACTGCTAAAAAAGAATGGATTTTTTTGTTTGTTTGTTTATTTGGTTTTGGTACAGTGCCCATACTTCCTAGATTCCCTTACCTTTAAATCATGACCCTCTATTTCTCATATCAACAGCTATTTAAAAACTGGCTAACAAAAAAATGATACTCTCTGGTGGCATTGGAAATAAAAGATAAAATTCATGAACGTTTAGAAATGTCATTGGTATATTCTAAGCAGAAAGTACTCACTGACTAAATCATTGACACGCTAATTATACTGAAAGTTGTTACTTCTGTAACTAATATTGGGAATCTCAGAGAAAATTCATCTTGCTCTTAGAGCTAATAAGAGTTTCAGAGCAGAGGGGAGAGAACTGTCCACTCATTCTAAGCTGCTGTTACATGATTCTTAATAGGGCTTTTTCAGAGAGGGGCAAAGATGACAAGGCACCACCCTTGCAGGCTGATGACAAGTCTGGAGTGCAGTGGAGACGTGGGAAAGCCAGCGCATTCCCACCCCACAGGGTCGTCAGCCTGAGCTGGGGACCAGCTCAGCACACGTGGGAAATTTTAAATGAGCACTACTGGGAGCAAGGGTCAGAGGCAGCAAGGAGGATTCCAGGCTCAGAAGCCAAGATTTGCTTTGTGTTCTCTTTACTCCTCAATGCAAATTGCATTTTCTTCAAGCATCTGTGAGTGCCAAATCAGGAGTCATGCAATCAGCCAGGTCATCAGACAAGAAAGCCCCTCCCTATAGGTCTAGGTAGTCAGACGTGGTTTCCATTTCCTTTGCCGTATAGCAAAAGTACTCCTGTTTATGTGCTGCGGGTTGGGTTGGTCATTAGGTACCCAGACTGGAAACTGCTCACCCGTGTCCCTGTCTGTAAAGACAGGACACATGTATGCTAGGTGTCACATACAGGTGGAAGAGAGCAAAAGTTTATTACATCGGAGCCTTTTCCACTACCTCTAACCCGTCACCATGGAGCAAAGACTGCTCATTTTTCTTCATCTTCCTTACTTGAATCATCCCCCAACATAGCTCTGTGGGTCAT